TCCCAAGCCTTCTCTCCTACTACTCTTATAGTAGGCGGAAGAGTCCAACATAAACTCTTTAGAGGAAGGACACCACAACACTAGCTATCTATTAAATTAACATTCTGAAGCAGGAATTTATAAAATAGACTTTACAAGATGTTTCTATGATTTTAACTGACATATGAACACAAAATGATTCTTTTATAAAAGTACCTTATGTATTAGTCGTTCATTGTAATAAGTCTGATCATAATTTTTATTTAAAGAATGCGATTAAATAATTTATGAAGGCGAACATGTATTGAAAAGGCACTAAATCATCCACTGTAAATTTACGTCTAGGATCATACGACTTATCTCCTTGCCTATTAAAACTAATCTGGCTAAAATGTTGGCCGTTTTTAGAACAATAGCGATAAAATACAAAAGCATTAGAAAAGTGGATGAGGGTGGCTGGGTTATACATTGAGATATATCGAATGCTAAACATATAAAAGTGTAAATTGAAAGTTAAGAATCCCTGTACCGTCAGCGTTTTTTGATATAGAATGATAATTGATGCTTGTTGTATTTCATTCGCTGATTCTATTTATGACATTCAATTAACCTTTCACTTAGATTGATATATAAAGTTATATATTATATCTACCATATATGGTAATTAATCTCTCTCTCTCTCTCTCTCTCTCTCTATATATATATATATATATATATATATATATAAAGTGAACGTAGAATTCAACACTTACAGATGACAAACTATTTCATGCTAGATGCAATCGTCAGGCCACGCGTGCTGTTATTTTTCTCGACTATTTACATATACGGGTCAGTGGTGCATTGTGGGTAGTCTATTTTGGCGGTTATTTTACCGGAAGTCGTTTATTTGTTTATTTATTTATTTCTATCTCTATCTCTGATATTGAGCACTTTATCCCATAAATATAGCACATCTTAAGACTATATTTTTATATATATATATATATATATATATATATATATATATATATATAACGGAGTAATGGATAACGGCTCTGATTGAGGAATCGGAGTTCGAAATAAAGTCGTATCCATTAGATTCACGTGCTAATACCTCTGGTAAAGGTATGGATCCTGTTCTTCTACGCCACTCCCCAGCTGTGGGTAAATACTGAGACATACTGGGTGGCAACCGGTGTAGGAGAGGGATGGGCTCCATCATGCTATCTTGCACAAGAAACACTACTTCTACTGCGGCTGCAGTGCATATGGTGCCACTACGATCCTACTGGTCAGGGGATATATATATATATATATATATATATATATATATATATATATATATATATATATATATATATATATATATATATATATATATATATATAAAAAGTGAACATAGAAGTCAACACTTAGAAGCGACAGTCTGTTTCATGCTATATGCAATCGTCAGGCCACATATGCTGTTATTTTTCTCGGCTATTTATATATATACGGGTTAGTGGTGCATTGTGGGTATTCTATTATGGCGGTTATTTTTACCGGAAGTCGCTTTGTTTATTTATTTGACCCAAATAAATAAACAAAGCTTTACTCTCATGTTCATAGTATTCCCAGTATCTCTCTGTTGAGCCACACGTCCTGGGTAAGACGATAAACTATGTCCAGCAGCAAGGCCTATGATCAGGAGGTTTTGAGGAGCGTGGAACCACCTCTTAATTGCTGCTGTTCTCAGATCCACCATGGGTGCACCTGTTAGGGTCCCAGCTATGGGTAAATAGTTAACCCCCAAAACAGGGGTCAAAACACGATGAAACTGTAAAAATAAGTTTTAATACCAGAAATTCTTTGTAAAAAATTATTACCAGGAATACATTTTTGAAAAAAAAATTACCAGCAATAAGAATATTGTCAGCATTAAATAACCCATTGAGGTTGATATGCCGTAAAACAAAACAAACCAAACCAAATTATACATATTTTTTGAAAAATACATTTTTGAAGAAAATTATTAGAAATATATTTTTGAAGGGAAAAAATACCAGCAATACATTTATGAAGAAAAATATTACCAGCAATAAAAATTGTTGGCAATAAATAACCCATTGAGGCTGATAAGCCGTAAAACAAAACAAAACAAACTCTGTAGAGCCACATCTCTGTTGCCTCAATTCTCTTCTCCACCTGATTGTTTAGCATTCACTGCTATATCGAAGGACTGATATTATATAACAATTGAACACTCTTTATTTTGCATCTAACGGAAATTTCTTCTTTCTTAATACTTTGTTTAACTTTTGGAAGGCATCTTTCATTATTCCAATACATCTTAGGATTTAGATGTTGTATTTTTCGTCCTCTGTTAAAACATTACAGTGACATTTGCTTATTCATAAACTCTCATGTATGCCGAACGCAATGGTCGACAAAATGAATATTAGTTTTCATATTGAGAACTGATTTCTAAAATCGGAGAGCCATGATCGCCCACATACTGAAAAAATTAACGCGTAATATTATTCTCCCGTTATGAGCTAGC